TACTTCTGTAATAAAACTATTACTATTTAACAACATAGGTGCAAACATGTCACATTTCACAAATTCTAATAGACCCATGAATTTAGCTTAATGTCTCTGAAGCTTAAGTATTTTAAGAACAAAGGTTCCAGCCCTCATATTTTCACCAGAGATAAACTCCGTTCACTTAGCTGTCCAAACTGAGAGCATACACAGCCCTATTTAAAATGTTGTTATACTTCATTTTAGAAATTAAATAATTATTTTTGTATATTAGAAAATAAAGGTCTAGTGCTAATAGAAAAACAAACACACTGATACATCCTCTATTGCTCCATAAGGGAAAAGTATAGTGTTTGAAAGTGAACACTGTATTTTTTTTAAAAAAAGTTTGGAACAGTGGAAGTCCAACATTTTGGGTTTATTGCCAAAATAAGGAAAAAACAAACTTTATCATAATTTTGGAAGTCAAAACTTGCCATTATTGGTACTGGATGGCTCAAGCAGATTGGAGGAAAGGGTTTTTTTCCCAAATCCAACAATAAAATGTTTTAAAAAGCTATTGCTTGTGCAAAGAGTAGATGGTCAATTTTCAACAATGCTACAACAGACTGTCAGCTTTGGGTGCTTTACTAGCCACCCAAGCCAGCCAGCCACACTCACCAGGTTTGGATGTCACAACAACCCACATCTGGCAAGGGTTATTAGAGAAATCAGTCAGGATGGAATTAGCATGTGTGGATGTGACAAACAAGTCATAGTGGCTTATTAACCACCCTTGTGTCATGACTTCAAATGGGAAACAGTACAGAAGTCTGCAAGGAGCACTAAATTCTGCATTTGGCAGACTGTTGATCAACAGTCTTATACAACCAAAACATATAACTATGAAATTCTATGTAAGTTACAAAGCAAGGCAGCTAAATGCGTCAGAAAGAAGGGAAAAGAACACTTCCAAACTTTCAGTACTGACTGAAGGCTGTATTACCTTAAAAATCCAGGATACAGATTAGGTGTTTCCTGGTGCACAGTCATACCAATGTCCATAGGACATCTAAGGATGTGCATTAATAACATGCTGGGTCATATCATGATGTGGATTTTACTGTTTCACTAGAGTTAACTTAAATGATTTTAAAGTCTTTTTATAGAATATGTTACAAGGAGTTCCCCCAATAAAAAATATGTCCAAAGTCTATGGCTTCTAGGACGGTTTGGATATTTCCTTCAATTGATGCCCATGAGCTTTTTCTTAGCCTTCTATAGCTAAGCAACCTTTCTACCCTTCTCAATAGTACTTTATACAACTGCCACTAATATTCATTTTGTTATTGCATATTTGCAGTACACAGCACTTACAATGAAATGACATTTTTAATGAAGGGGGCAATTTTATGTTTTCCCCTTTTCTCCACCCTCCAAACTATCTCATTTGTCCAGCAATAACAGAAGTTACCTTTTTAATTTGTAAGGTTTCACCTGTGAACCATCAAGCATTAACAGTATTGACCTACTAAACCACACCTTTAGAACATTCTGTCTTAAATGCTACACTGGGACTTATCAAAGATATAAACATACCAATTTTTACTCTTCCTCGCTCAGGACCTTCACCCATAACTAAAATATTAGCAGGTTTCTGTGGAAAAAAAATAAATACACAACACATATACCAAGATAAACCTAAACATTTGTGCCTGAAATTAGCAGCTTTATTCCCCATTTTAAAACAAAATGCAGTGGAATATTATATTGATAGTGGCTGCATGTTATTATTTTTAGGCAATAAAAGCAGCCTAATAATGTCCTTGCCAATTTTAAATTCTCTCCCTTTTAAAAAGCAATCTTACAATAACTCCTCACATTGTGACCTTCTCTCATGAGCAGAAGCCATTTTATTCTGGAGCTCAGAAATAGAGGAAAAAAATTTCCCTGCCTCTTGAACTTCCAACACTATTCAAGTACAAGAGAGTAGTCTACCATACTTTTTACATATTGTCCAAAAACATTTTAAATGCCATTGTACAAAGATTTTAATTCTGTACAAATGTTTTTTTAATAAATTAGGCAATATAATTGTAGTTTAAATTCAAGCTAAATGTCAATTTAGCCTCGTTTACAAACACAGAGTTTCAGATGCTTGCCCTTCACAGATGCTATAGTTTGAAATTCACACATCCTTCTTTTGATTTTAAAGGGCTGCTGCATGGATTTCCTTTTCTTGTCCATTGTTTGTTTGTTATCATTCCATTTCCACATAATGCATTTTCCTCAACAGTAGTGGCCTTTAGAAATTCTTAAAAATATGAATTATTTGTACAATTACTTCAGCAAGCACTAGAGCCATACTAGTACTATATTGCTATTTCTTATGTTTATGAACATTTACAAGACTGTAGCATGTAGTTACAGATGGTCTAAATTGTAGATATCCAGCACAGATACTATTGCTTGTCTCAGACCAGTTTCAAAAAAGAATGACTACTGCTCTGAGAAAATTTGGTATCAATAGCTTGAAGCACAACTGTTTGAAAAAGCTATAAATTGAGCATGCATAAGGGATCATCCCTCCAAGAACACTGCCAAAGTATTGCCACAACATGAAGCTATTATGGGACCACATATCTGTGGACTTCAAGGTTTTATAACACGCTACATAAAAGTACTTAAAGGAAGCTTTGATGTATGAATGCAAACACTTTTGATAGGAAAGGATATAATCTGATTTTGTTACATGGACAGGATAAATGTGTGAAGAATCAGAGACAACAGATTTTAAAAAGGATACACTTGATTCAGGACAGACTAAAAAGGCTACAATGCAATTTCAGTAAGATGTATGCTCCTAATTAAGAGGGGAAAAGGAACTATCCTGTGGCATTATTAGGCCATCTAATTCTTGTAGTGATTCATATGATGTATTTATGAATATGTGAGCCATTTGACTATTGTGATGTGAATAAATAAATAAAAATATCAGAACAAAATATCCAGAATTCTCTTCAGTCTAACTGGAATAGCACTCTAGAACTTAAATTCATTTGGAAATATGTTGCAGAGGAAGTTTAATGAAAAGTTTGCTCACCAACTTGTGTATGTTTATATGCTGGTGTGCTGTTATTAATGAATGATCAGTCATGGTGGCAATTAACAACCCAGGAACATTCCATTTCCTGCTTTCTTTCATGACACGAGAACCCAGAAATTCTAGGTTCTTTATGAGCTAAAAACATAGCTCAAACACAAACCAGAGGCTAAGTACTTACTTTTTCCAATCCTAATGACCTTGTCAAATATTCCAATAATTACTTTTATTCCTACTTTGTACTACATGTTTAATGTGAGAACCAAAGACTAAGTGAAACGACAACCAAGAAAAGAGAAGTGCTGAAACTTTCCATTTAAATCCACTATTCAACTATAAATTTTTATTTTTTTAAAAAAATAATTAACTTATTACCATACCATATCATTCATTGTGCATCAATAACAGGGAATTAAAATTTAAAAAGGGAAAAACTTGCAGTACAAATAAACTGATTCATTTAATTCAAAGCAATTAATAATTTATTTAATACTGAATGCAAAAGGTGCATCTCCACCCAGTACCTTCAGCTACATGAGAATTTATTCATATCTTTATATTCCCCTCTTCTCCTTTACTTCTGTGCTTTCCCATTCTAAGGAAGACCCCTTTCCCATTCAAAATTGCACTGAATATGTTTAATACTTTCCCTTTCACTAATACGTATTCAACGAACAACTCCCAAATTATCCTTATTAAAATTATTCCGATTTGTCAGTCATTTTGTCACCTCAATACTACATGATAACTTGTCATTGATTGCTGTTTCAAATTTACTTAACTGGAAATCAAGGTTTCCTTCTAATTCTTTGCTATTATTACTCTTATGACTGTTAATAAATGTTATTAATTTCAGCTCATGTGCCAAATCCTATTATCTCTATCAGCATCTTTATTGTATGCCACAATAAAGGCTTTAAATTGCTTTATAACTACTATTATACCAGCTTTTAACCTTTCCTTACATATGATTTTTATTCTGTCTAGTACTCTTCTAGTCAGATCTGCCATCCATCTCCCTAATATAAAAATACACTGATCCACCTTAATATATTTACCAATAAAATTATTCAATCACTTTGCAAATACTGCTCTATTTTTTGTCTTGGTTTATCAAAGAAATAGGTCTATAAGCCCCAGGATCTGTCAGATATTTGTTAGGTTTGGAATGAAAACTATTGAGGAATATTTCCAGGTTGAATATTTTCTCCTTCCAATATATTATTAAAAGAGATTTTAGTTTTGAGAAGCTTAAGTTCAAATAAGTACCTGAACTTTCAGGACAGGGTAGGTTTAAATAGGTAAGTAAATAGGCTTAAACATAGGTAATACTATCATGTCTGTTTATTTGATATTTGGTTTCTCTTCCACCTGAACAAATATGAATGGCATCAGACATAACTGGAAACAGGACAGCAGCATAGCTATGAAGATTTTCAGCAGAAATTCCGCATTCCAATAATAAACCAAACCACAATGCTGTGACAGAAATGTAAGACATTTCGTCCACCTCATATCCCCTCAGGGACACATCACATAAAACTATTCTGACATGATTTCTATCTTCAAAGTGTTTAATTTAATTAACTTATTAAATAATTGCTTTTGCATAGTTCATTTGTCATCCATGTTATTGTTTTATTAGATTATTTTTTATTTTATAGCTGGCAAGTTTATTTTCCAGAGCATCCAATTTACTTTGTGGTATTTGTTTCATCTTCCACTTGCTAATCTAGTCTCATTTTTTTAATCAATGACTTTCTAAACTGATTTTTTTCAAAAATGACAGAAAAATATATTTCCCAAATTTTCAATGCAACAGCACTCTTACCATTACTTTCAAGTCAGAACTATAAACAGATTGAGAATCCCCCCCCCCCAAAGTTGGGAGTTTAACATCCTGCTTTAATTTGTCACACACAGCCAATACATTTTGAAATATAACAATTGGTGTAGTGGTTAAGAGCATAGATCTGGGACTTGGTCAATCTGGGTTCTAATTCCCACTCAGCCATTGGATTACTTTGGGCCAGTCACAGACTCTCAGCCCAACCAACCTCACAATGTTGGTGGGGGGAAGGGGAGGGAGATTGAAAGAACCCACTTTTAGTTCCCTAAAAAAGAAAAAGCTGGGATAAAAGTCTGACAGTTAGATAGATGGATAAATAGTTCGATCGATCGATAATCAGTTACCCCTGACTTGAGATCACACTTACTTAACTAAACATTAAACAAGTAAGCAAGATTTGATCAAACATTCAGACGTTTCATTTATTTATTTATTAACAGTAGTTGAATGTATTTATGTCTGGGTTTTTTCCTATCTGATTTTGAGAAACAATAGTGTTGGTTGCTCTGGCAGAAAACTTATGAGAGAAAAAGGTGAATACAACTATTATCTTGTTCCCTATACAAACTGTTATAAGTCAATTGGCGGCGGGGGGGGGGGGAGGCGGCAGGCAGATCATCAGTATGTGGATGAAACACAGCTCTACTTCTCATTTCTACCAACTAGTCCCAGATGACTGAGGACACATGTCTTAAGGCAGTTTAGATATTGATGAGGACAAGCAATCTGAAGATCAATCTTAATAAGATGGAAGTACTGAGAGTGAGTGAATCTGCTGATCTGGATGGAGGTGAGGAACCAGGTATGCAGCTCAGCGCTTTTTCCTGCCCTTGGCATTAGCTACAGAGGTGCAGGTGCCATTGGTGGCTAGCAGAATCATTTATCAATTTCAGCTGACTGGCCAGCTGTGTCCTTATCTAGGGAAGGCAAATCTTTGCCACATTTATGCCATGGCTTCAACCAAAGGAGATGACTATCTCTACATAGGTTAGTTTTTGGAAATTGTTCAGAAATTTCAGCAAGAGCAGGATGCAGATGCCCAGCTGTGTGTAGGACCCAATTAAACTGAGCACAAAATACTGAATTATGGACCAGCTATGCTATTTGTCAAACACCAATTCACACCAATTAAGTGTGTACCATTACCTTTCAAGCCCTAAATGGCTTGGGATCCGGTTATTTAAAGGACCACCTATACCTACAGCTTGCCCAACCCTGAAATTTGGCTTATCAGGTTTGCAGCCTGCAAGGGACAGAACTTTCTCAGTGGGAGAAAGATGTTCTTTCAGTGGAAATGACATGGCAATTTCATTATGGCCACCAAAGACCTGGTTATTTATATATGTGTTTAACTGATAAAGAATATATGCTTGCATCATTCAGTTTAATTTTAAACACTGTTGCTGCTTTACTGCTGATTTTGTAATGAATAGTTTTCATTTGCTTACCATTATTTTTCTTTAGTGAGCCCTTCCAAGGAGTCTTAGAAGTTAACACAAAATAGTAACTAATTTAGCCATCTAAAAACTGCTATAATCCAGTACTGTAAATCCAATTTAAAAATTCAAAACAATTTTTAACTGAGTTAGTACTAGTATAAACAGTAAAGCAATAAACTATTCAATATGACACTTTCAACTAGAGTTTTCATTGCTCATTTCAAAGCTGATAAAGAAAGAACCATATAGGAGGAAGTTCCGCAAGT